CCTATTATCACTTTAAATATATCATGCCCCTCCATTCTGCCATGCAGAATTTCTGCTGAATTATCAGTTCATAGTCTTGTGGGGCTTACTTTTACATAACTAATTGCTTTTCATTTTGGAATTTTTAATATTCTCTCTTAATGCTTAATTTTTGCCATTTTAGTTGCATCATGTCTAGGTGTGGACGTCTTTAGGCTTATCTTGTTTTAATCTCTCTGTGCTCCCTAGGCCTGGATATATGTCTATTTCCTTGCTAAGATTATGGAATTTTTCAACTTTATGTCTTTAAATAAGGTCTCTGCAGCATTTACTCTTTTTTCCTCCTTGCATCCCCTACAATGCAAACAATACACTTGATGCACTTAATGTTGTCCCAATGGTCTCATAAACTGTCTTATTTATTTTTTAATTCTTTTTTTTTCTTACTGTCCAGTTTGAGTGATTTCACTACCCTACCAGTTTTCTGACACTTCTATCTGTATCACCTAATATATTACTGATTCCTACCAGTGTATTTTGTTATTTCACTTATGGTAGTATACAACTCTGTTTTGTTTCTCCTTACATTTTATAACTGTTTTTAAACTTATTATTCTGTTCATTCTCCTGACGTCATTAAACATCTTTATGGTCATTACCTCTATCCATTACCTTGGATAAATTGTTTATCTCCCTTTGATTTTCTACTGGAGTTTTATTTTGGACCTTTATTTCAAAAATATTTCTCTTTCGCCTTATTTTACCTGATTCTCTTTTTCATTTCTATGTATCAGTTATGTTGGGTTATGCTTCCTGATCTTGGAAAAGGGCTATGTAGAAGATACTTTATGTGGCCCAGCAGCATATTCCTCTCTGTTTACCTGAACGGTATGCTCTAGATATATCCTCTTGGTGGGCTGCTCTATTGTGAAGCATCTAACTTCCATGGACGTATTGGTGGGCATGGCCAGTGCTTACATGGTTGGTTGCCAAACCTTGCCTGATTCAGAGGCTGTGGGTCACTAGTGGAGAGACCTATATCCTGGCACAGCTGGCCCTAGGGACTGTGCAATATCAGGGCTGGTGTCTGAATTGAGTTCATCCATTCTTCTGTTTTGTGATCATCTTTATGACTATTTATTTAAATCCTTATTCTGATAAACTACTTATCTCTTTTATGCTTATTTATTTTCTGAGGTTTTGTCTTGATTTTTTAATTTGAAAAGTGTTCCTTTGTCTCCAAATTTTGCCTAATTCTCTGTATTCATTTCTTTGTAACAAGTATATCAGCTATGTCTCAAGGTGTTTAAAGAGTAGTTTCATGCTGAAGATATCCTGTGGGACCCAGCAATGCAATCCTGCCAATCACCAGAATCAACTTCTCCAGGGATACCCCAGTCTATGAGCTATATAGGTCTCCTAATGTGGTTAGATTACAACTGATTTGACACTTTGGTGTGTGTGTTCAGCCACCAGGCCAATTAGCTATAAGACTTGAGTGCAAACACTGTAGCTAAGTACAGTATGTTACGGAGATCAATGGAGAAATAATTCCAGAAAGAATGAAGAGACAGAGCCAAAGAAAAAGCAACACCCAGTTGTGGATGTAACTGGTGATGGAAATAAAGTCTGATGCTGTAAAGAGCAATATTGCATGGGAACTTGAAATGTTAGGTCAATGAATCAAGGCAAATTGGAAGTGGTCAAACAGGAGATGTCAAGAGTAAACATTGACATGTTAGGGATCAGTGAACTAAAACGGACTGGAATGAGTGAATTTAACTCAGATGACCATTATAGCAACTACTATGGGCAAAATCCCTTAGAAGAAATGGAGTAACCATTGTAGTCAACAGAAGAATCTGAAATGCAGTACTTGGATGTGATATCAGAATAACCTCTGTTTGTTTCCAAGGCAAGCCATTCAATATCACAGTAATCCAAGTCTATGCCCCAACCAATAATGCTGAAGAAGCTGAAGTTGAACAGTTCTATGAAGACCTAGAAAACCTTCTAGATCTAACACCCAAAAAAGATGTCCTCTTCATTATAGGGAAATGGAATGCAAAAAAGTAGGAAGTCAAGAGATACCTAGAGTAACAGGCAAATTTGGCCTTGGAGTACAAAATGAAGCAGGCAAAAGGCTAACAGAGTTTTGCCAAGAGAATGAACTGGTCATAGCAAACACCACCCTCCCACAACACAAGAGAAGACTCTACACATGGACATCACCAGTCAATACAGAAATCATTGATTATATTCTTTGCAGCCCAAAAAGGAGAAACTCTATACAATCAGCAAAAATAAGACGGGGAGCTGACAGTGGCTCAGATCACAAACTCCTTATTGCAAAATTCAGATTAAAATTGAAGAAAGTAGGGAAAACCACTAGACCATTCAGATATGACCTAAATCAAATCCCTTACAACTATACAGTGGAAGTGACAAATAGATTCAAAGGATTAGATCTGATAGATGGAGTGCCTGGAGGACTATAGGCAGAGGTTCATATCACTGTACAGGAGGCAGTGACCAAAACCATTCTCAAGGAAAATAAATGTAATAAGGCAAAATGGTTGTCTGAGGAGGTCTTGAAAACAACTGAGAAAAAAAGAGAAGCAAAAGGCAAAGGAGAAAGGAAAGATCTACCCAATTGAGTGCAGAGTTCCAAAGAATAGCAAGGAGAGATAAGAAAGCATTTTTAAGGAAACAATGCAAAGAAACAGAGGAAAACAATAGAATGGGAAAGACTAGAGATCACTTCAAGATAATCAGAGATACCAAGGTGAGATTTCATGCAAAGATGGGCACCATAAAGGACAGAAATGATAAGGACCTAACAGAAGCAGAAGATGCTAAGAACAGGTGGCAAGAATACACAGAAAAAAAAATTGTACAAAGAAATCTTAACGACCCAAGTAATAACTATGGTATGGTCGGTCACCTAGATCCAGACACCCTGAAGTGTGAAGTCAAGTGGGTCTTAGGAAGCATTAGTAGAAACAAAGTTAGTGAAGGTAATGGAATTCCAGCTGAGCTAATAAAAGCACTGTTAAAGTGCTGCATTCAATTTTCCAGCAAGTTTGGAAAACTCAGTAATGGCCACAGGCCCAGAAAACATCAGTTTTCATTGTAATCCCAAAGAAGGGCAATGCAAAAGAATGTTCAAACTACTACACACTACACAATTGTGTAGTGTAGTTCAAACTACTACACACTACACTTGCTAATCTCATATATTAGCAAGCAATGCTCAAAATCCTTCAAGATGGGCTTCAACAGTATATGAATCGATAACTTCCAAATATACAAGATGAATTCAGAAAAGTAACAGTAATATTCAATAAATATCAGTAAAGTGAGGGAAGGAGAAAAAAAGGAAGCACCGAAAGAGTAAAGGAAGGTGAGGGGAGGGGCAGAAAAGAAGAATGATATGAAAAGTAGTCTGAATTAGAATTGCTATTTTAAGCATGGACATTTGTATGTGTGAGAGTGTGTTGTGGTAAGAAGAAATAAACCTATACAGAAGTAATGAAAATCATGAAAAGACTGATTACTACACAGTTCCCTCAGATTTGATTGTAGAGCTAATAATCCTCATGAAGCACAAGCTGGAATCAAGATTGCTGGGAGAAATATCAGTAACCTCAGATACAAAGATGACACCACCTTTATGGCAGAAAGTGAAGAAGAACTAAAGAGTTTCTTTTTCTTTGCTGATATTTTTTTAATTGGAGCCTAATTACTTTACAATTTTGTAGTGGTTTTTGCCATACATTGACAGGAATCAGCCATGGGTGTACATGTGTTCCCCATCTTGAACCCCCCTCCCACATCCCTCCCCAATCTATCCCTCTGGGTCATCCCAGTACACCAACCCTGAGCACCCTGTCTTATGCATTAAACCTGGACTGGTAATATATTTCACATATGATAATATACATGTTTCAATGCTATTCTCTCAAATCATTCCACCTTTGCCTTTTCTCAGAGTCCAAAAGTCTGTTCTTTACATCTGTGTCTCTTTTGCTGTCTTGCATATAGGGTAATTGTTACCATCTTTCTAAATTCCACATATATGTGTTAATATACTGTCTTGGTATTTTTCTTTCTGACTTACTTCACTCTGTATAATAGGCTCCAGTTTCATCCAGCTCATTAAAACTGATTCAAATGCATTCTTTTTAATAGCTGAGTAATATTCCATTGTGTATATGTACCACAAATTTCTTATCCACTCATCTGCCAAAGGACATCTAGGTTGCTTCCATGTCCTGGCTATTTTAAACAGTGCTGTGATAAAGATTGGAGTACATGTGTCTCTTGATGAAAGTAAAAGAGGAGAGTGAAAATGCTGGCTTAAAACTCAACATTCAGAAAATTAAGATCATGGCATCAGGACCCATAACTTCATGTGAAATGGATGGGGAAACAGTGGAAACAGTGACAGACTTATTTTCTTGGGCTCCAAAATCACTGCAGATGGTGACTGCAGCCATGAAATTAAAAGACCCTTGCTCCTTGAAAGAAAAGTTATGACCAACCTAGACAGCATATTAAAAAGCAGAGACATTAGTTTGTCCAAAAAGGTCTGTCTATTTAGAAAGATGGTAATAATGACCNGGGAGGAGAAGGGGACCACAGAGGATGAGATGGTTGGATGGCATCACTGACTCAATGGACATGAGTTTGAGCAACTTCTGGGCCTTGTGATGGACAGAGAAGCCTGACATGCTACAGTCCATGTGGTCACAAAGACTCAGATGCAACTGAGCAACTGAACTCAACTCAACTGAATCCTCTTAAAAATATTCTAGTCTTTTCTAGAGAAACAATTTCTCCCATATCTGCCTCACTACTTCTTTTTATGTCTTATCAATCATCCAAAGAAATGAATAACAAACTGAACACATATTTAGTAAGCACACAATATCTACTGAATAAGTCAATGAGTGAATGAATACCTAACAGTAAATGAATACCTAAGGCAGAAAGTTAAAAATAAAACTTCATTTACTTACCTCAGAATTTTTTAAATGTGCTTGAAATACTTCATTTCTTAGTGAAGTGGTAGCTGATGATGCAAAATGAGAGAGATGCATTTTGTAAAGGATAAGGACAATTTCACCATAACTGTCCTTTATGTTCATAGAAGAGGCTGTAGACTGCCATGTCCAGGTCTAATCTAGACCAATAACTTTCTAGACACTGATTTGGCTCTATCGTCTAAAAAGCAAAGGAGTAGTTAATTAGCAAGGGAGAATAATACTTGATTGATTCTACTAAATTAGATTTTGTTGACCTGCCAAAGTGAATTTGTCATTAACATTTATTAGAAACACACATGTGCGTGTACACACACACACACACACACACCCCAAAGGGGTTAAGAATCCTAGATTGTTAGTGGCATTTTCTTTTCGCTCATTAATAGTATAACTGAAAAGACAGAGTTTTGGAGTCAAAGGCCTACAAAAATCTTGGAGCTTTTCCTACTTCAACTATTGTCCCTGGACATACTATTTAACTTCTCTGAGCCTCAGTGTTCCAATAAATAAAAGAGTGATACTGGTGTTTCCATTGTAGGATTGTTACAAAATTCAAAAGACTTAAAAACAAAAGCTTGTCTGTATCTAATCCTGTGTCTTGTGTCTATTCAGTACCTGATAAATCTTTTTAAACAGGACTCCTTAGGATTAATCCTGTTGTTATAACAACTTTGAAGTTGAAGAAAATATTCTGACTTGATTCATTAATTAATTTATTCAGTGTATCTGCATTGGGAGAATATTGAATGGAAGATTTTGATAGACACTGAAATATAATTCCTGTCTTCAAGGGGCTTATGATTCACTTAGCAAGATAAAATACATGCAGAGATGGCTAAAATACTATGTATGATATGATTAGATCATTTTTGATCCTTTTTTCTATATCAGATCTAAGTGTCTTTCCAGAATTGAAGTATAATGGTGATAAGCTGACAGTGAATAAGAACAGTGCTGGCTGAGAATACACTTGAGAGTTCAACAGATTAATTTATATCTGAGAGCTAAGGCAAACTGAAAGATGCTTTATGATTTGTGTAGGAATGACAGTATGTCAACTAAAATTTTGAGCTTCTATAATGCCTAACTAGTTGCCATGCCCCCCCCAAAATTTGCCCCATGCTTTACTTCCATCACTATCATTCCAATACATTTTCTTAAAATTGGCACTAATTACAACCACTCGTATTTGTTTCTATTAACTAAACAATGGAAAGTGTTGCTATTACTTTTTTTTTTCCTAAAAGGAATAATACATAATTTCTGCTTCTTAGAAAGAAAAAGTGTGCTGTGCTGTGCTGTGCTAAGTTGTTTCAGTCATGTCTGACTCTTTGCTACCTTATGGTCTGTGCCTGCCAGACTCTTGTCTACGAGATTCTCTGGGCAAGATTACTGGAATGGGCTGCCATGTTGCCATGTCCTGCTCCAGGAGATCTTCCTGACCCAGGGGTAGAACCTGCACCTTACATCTCCTGCATTGACAGGCATGTTCTTTACCACTAACATCTCCTGGAAAGCTCTGGAATGAAAACAGACTATTATTAAGCTGTGGGCAAACATTCATTCTTCACTGAGGAGTATAATATATTAGCTATTTTCATCAACATACTTCATAACACCACTTACTAGCTCTGGACACCTATGAAACATTTAACTCACTGAACCTGAGTGTTTATAATGTGGAGGTAATGCATGCCTTTTAAATTTTGAGATAATAAATGTAATCCAGAGAATATTATATGCACAAATAGTCCTATTCTTAATATTCCTACTTGTTTGCTATTTTTTCACTCTTCATTTGCCATTAGGAATAGCTGTCTGAAAAAAATAAAAAGGAATAGCTGTCTGACTACTTTCTTCTACTGTGGAGGATAGCATGCTGAACAAGTGTAATTATAAGCTACAGCTCCATAGGCAAGCTCCTTATAAATTATAAATTTCAATAAAATACAGAGAAAAAGCAAAATGAGAAAGAAATTTGTCTTTAATTAACATTGGTCCTCTCTATTTCTTTGAAAATAAAAATTTAAGTCAACATCATCCCATAAAATCAGTCTACAGAATTGATTCCATACCAGGGTTATGGAAAGATAAAAATCAGTCCTTTGGCTAGTCTGATCTAGGTTCTAAAGTCAAAATACACAATCTCTAATCTAGAGGGAAAACAGCAAGCAATTTCAAGCTACTAAGTTAGCTTGAAGCCAAGAATAATTTATGTCCAAGTACAATAAATAAATAGTACAATTTATTATTATAATATTTTTGTAAAATTAAATTTTATAATAAAAGAGCAAGAACTGTTACAGTGATGAAGGAAAGGATTTTTATTTATGCAAGGTCTATAAAATATGCTTAAATTGGTTAGAAACCATTCTATGACAGAGAATGTCCTCAAAGAATCAATAGCTTTTCTTGTGTAAACATTGAAAAGTCACTGTATTCTTTTAGTACCAGCTACATTCTTTTAATAGCAGCAATAATCTTCTAAGACTATTATGAGAACTTCCTTTTGGGCTTTATTTGCCCTTTAACATTATATAAGCCTGTGCACTGTGCAGTTTTGGACAAGATGTAGACACATTGTTAAGATGCTAAAAATAAAGTTGGGAGGCAGTAATAGCATACTTTTTTAGAGCTTGAACAACTATGAAGCAATAATAATCAAATGTAACAAGCACTACCACTGTCTCTAAAAAGGAAAGCACAGCATGTGCTATGGAAAAGCACCAAACCAAATAAACAAATCCTCTGAAATTGCAAGGCACACTTCCCAAAAAATGCACAAGACTCAAATACACACATGCACAAGAAAATATGACAAAGGATAATTGTGTTGATCACTGAGGCTACCAAATGGATTACTTAAGTGATATAACCTCAAAAGACTTCAGAGTGCTGTGGACATAATGATAACCTATTATAACAGTACTTCATGAACTGTAGGGCAGTTTCTTATGAGCTGAAGATCTGCATCTAAGGGCAGCATTATATCTTCTGCTGTCTCATAGCCTCTCCATTGTGCTAAACAGCCACAGTTGCTCTCTCTCAGTGAGAAAGAATAAGAGGTTTTAATCCATTTCATACACAGCTTGCTACTCCTCTACCTTAACTCATGAAGCAGCTGCAAGAGTAACAACATCAGAGAGAGAAGGCAGCAGCCACTGTAAAATAAGATCCCTAACTACTCTGACACACCATTCCATCCTGTGAGGAGACTAGGATATACTCAAAGAGGAAAATGTAGCTTATCTAAGAATGCACCTACACCAGCAGAACCTCATCCTGAAGAAAGGAATCTCAATCTCAATTAAGTACTTACATGAATATCCTCAGAGACAGAATAGTAACATGTTTTCAACTCTGAATACAATTGATAACATCCACCTATGAGATTTCTAATTATGTCACTGGTATTTTACACCTGTGGAAATAAAACACAGGCAAATACATGAAGATCTCTATGAAAAAATGGGCTTCATTATTATATGTGTGTATTTTCTATTCTTGAAATGTTATCATTGTCACATTATGTGAGAAATAGATACAACTGGACTGGATCTGTTATGAAAAAGGCATACTTTAATGCGACAAAGTCTAGTTCTTATTTTTATTCACCCCTTAAAACTCATAATTTTTATTGAGAGACTTTCATGTGCCAGAAAGCCAGTATATTAATATATTACTGGTATTGCTCAGCTCTGAGTAAAGCATATATACCTATAAGCATATAAAACTGTGTGGAAAATTGTTCTACATTATTATATGTATGCAATTCTTATATGAATCCTATCATAATTCTATTATATTAGAAATACATACCTGGGCCTGTCCAGATAAAAGATATAATTCACTCTGAAGAGAGCTAGATTTTACTTTCATTTTTTCATAAATTAAAAAATAGTTATTGAGAACCTTCACTCAGCCCAAAGTAGTATTCAGTCCTAGAGAATGCAACGAAAAGTAAAAGTGTCAGTCATCAGTCCTGTTTGACTCTTTGCAATCCCATGGATTGTAGCCCACCAGGCTCCTCTGTCCATGGAATTCTCCAGGCAAGAACACTGGAGTGAGCAGTCATTCCGTTCTCCATGGGATCTTCCTGACCCAGGGATCGAACCCAAGTCTCCTGCATTGCAGGCAGACTCTTTACTGTCTGAGCCACTGAAGAAGCCCATGAGAATACAATATACAAGACAAAACAACAGGGCCTGCTTTCAGAGATCTAACAGTGCAGAGAAATAGTCAGAATTTAAAGTAGTGACTGTTCTTCATGGTAATGGGTATTCAGAGATAAGAGGTTAAGGGGACTAAGGGGACATCTAGGACAGTGCAAATGAATCTAAAAAAATACCTCCCCATAGATCTGATGTCAGATTCAACAGGCAAGTGGAACAGTTTCTGGTAGGTATCAAAGTTTTAAGGTAAAAGAGAAAAGTGACTTCATCTATGAATAGAGAGAGAATGGACATATGGATGAACTAAAAAGTGATCAGAAGTGAGGCAGAACAAATCAGCAGGGCTAGATTTGAAGTTCCTTTATCCCATGAAGTGGGGTCTGAATTTTATCTCAAAGAATAGTAAATTCAAGAAAGTGTTCTAATCAGGTGAATGATAGGATCATATTAACATTTATTCCTCTAGTTGTAGTTAGAGAGTAAATTTGAATAAGGTGACTTTAGAATCAAGAGATTGGGTGTGAAGATTGTTAACATATTTAGTTAGCAAATGAGAATGGTAGAGCTAACATAGTAAGGATGACATATGAATGGAGAAACAATTGGATAGCAAAATCAGCAGGACATGGAAAAATACACACACAGAAGATTCAGAAGAAGCAGAGTTAAAGGTGACACCCACCTGAATTAAGAAACAGGGAAAATGGTGGTACCTGTTGATGAGACAGTAGCACAAGAGGAGACATAGGTTTAGGGGACCAAGAGAAATGATAAGCTTTGTTTAAAACTTGGCAAATGAACATGCCACTAAGACATCTAAATAAGAGATATCCAAAAAGCAAGTGGTAACAGGGTTCTAGAGTTTGGAACAGGGTGTAAGTTTGAGAAAAATCAGCTCTATCAATTCTGTGAAGTCACATATGGAAAGTGCATAAACAAAAGAAAAAAAAAATCACAAGGATATCAATGATTTTAAAGGAAGAGACAAACATAGAGGCAATTGAGAGGTGATGATGAAGGGAGAAGTTATGATGAAGTGAGATGCAGTTCTACAGAAATCAAGAAAAAAAATCTATGCTTCAAAAAGTCTGACTTCCCTGATAGCTCATAGCTTGTTGTGAGATCAAGGAAAATGAAGACTGGAAGAGTCCACCCTCAAAGAAGTAATTTCTGCTATAGATGAAATCAGCTGCAAATAGAAATATGTTGAGAAGTAAGCTGGAGGTGTAAAAATTAGAGTGAGTTCTTTAGGTGTTGAATAGAGGAAGATAGTTTTCTCAGACAAGATACTGGAACTGATAGATAAACCTAAGTAAGAAGTAAGTGGATATTCTTCACCTTGTTCTACAGCAGAAACTAACACATTGTAAAACAGTATTTTTTTTCTAATAAAAAATTTTTTTAAAGATAGATACTCTTTTGAATAAAGACTCTTGATGTTGTCTTAGAAAGTACCAGTTTTCCATGGATCTCTTACATTTCTGCATATCTTAAAAGCAGAGGCACTGACTTACCTATGTTCCAGAACTTGTACAGTAAACAGCCTTGGATAGTAGAATAAGTTTATCTACAGCAAGTGGTGTGCATGTTTACTGACCCTTGTAAGATAAGTATTTAAGTTTTCTCAATTTGGGGTTTCTCTCCTATAATACAACACACTGCATATGCAGCTGTCACTGACCCTCTTCATACCCCCTTGTGGAAATTGGGTCTCAGGGAACACGCACAAAAATTGATGAGACTCTGGCTACTTTAATACTGTGAGTAATAAAGCCCTTTTCCTCTGGCCAAGGAATTCTTTTGTCCTCTGACAGTTTGACTATTTGCACTTCTGTCCTGGTTCTGTTCAGAACTTTGACTTTTCAGGATTTATGCCACCTAAAAAGTCACAGTAAAATTGTTACTGTAAAGAGAAAGACCTTACTGCTTTACATTGTATTCTCCCAAATATATACTGTCAACTCCAATGGAAGCTATAAACCAGCAGCATAAATTAGAAAAATGAGACTGCATCCTGCACACCACTGACAAGCTTGCAAGACAACATTTGTTAGTTCTGCATTTGAGCATATCACTTAGAGTGCATATTTCCTGGTTATGTTCACTCTGCATACACATATACAGCAATAACTGCAGTGCTGTCATTTTAAAGACAGTTACTTATATGACGCAGATGTATGATTCTGGTAAAACACCACAGGAAGAATAATTTCTGAATGATGGAGGCTTTTTGGAAATGCATTACAATTATTCAAAGAATGCTATGTAATCTAAAAATGATTATTCTTTTCTAAAAAAATAAAGGATTAAAAAAATAATAGACTTCTTCTAAAGGATCCCATAGAATCCAAGACTTACTATGTCTTGAGTAAAATTCTACACTGACCAAATGAATTAAGACTGACTTGAACTGAAGACTTTATGCTATCTTGGAGCCTCGTTGATAAAAAGTCATCTAAAGTCTTCTCTGAATAAAGACAGCAAAATTCTGTAAAGCAATTATCCTTCAATAAAAAATTAATTAATTAAAAAAAGAAATTTCAATACTTTTAAATAGGTTGTGTTCCCTTAAAAAAGTATAGACCCTATCAGGCTCAAAATTATTGAAAAAAAAGTCATATTGACCTGCACTTCATTAAATGTTCAAAAATAAAAATCAATTGAAAACAATATAAAGTTAAAAAGGACAAACACAGAAGGGGCATGTATATACATTCAGTTCAAAGGAACATAAAAATATTAAAAATAGAATTTTCACCTTAAAATCATAATGAATAGATCAGATATACCAGAGAAAAAACAGCTAGAAAGATGAGATCGCTGTATTCTTTAATGTCTATTGAGACCATCATTATGCAGATTCCTCCCTGTCAGATAGGAGGTATTAGGTTTGACAATATTTGACAGTACTAGGTTTGACAAGAGAGATGAGTAAACAACTAAACACTGCCTGTGTAGAGGGGGAGCATGCTAAAAATCATATTAAGCTCCAAGTAACTCTGAGAAGAATCATTGCCAGATGCATTGTGTCCTGAATTACAAGTAAAATTTCAAAAATAGCTGCTGCTGCTGCTGCTGCTGTTACTGCTAAGTCGTTTCAGTCGTGTCCGACTCTATGTGATCCCACAGAAGGCATCACCATTCTCTCTCGTGAAAAGTCACAACTCAAGAGCAGACACATTTATGAAACACAAATTTTTCAGTTTTTGTTTTTCATTTATTTTTTGTAGCTATTTTATTTTAGTTTTTTGCTTTACAATAATGTATTGGTTTTGCCATACATTGACATGAATCCGCCTTGGGTGTACATGTGTTCCCCATCCTGAACTCCCCTCCCACCTCCCTCCCCATCCCATCCCTTGGGTCATCTCAGTGCACCAGCCCCAAGCACACTGTATCAGGCATCGAACCTGGACTGATGATTCGTTACACATAGGATAATATACATGTTTCAATGTCATTCTCCCAAGTTATTCCACCCTTGCCCTCTCCCAGAGTCCAAAAGACTGTTCTATACATCTGTGTCTCTTTTGCTGTCTCGCATATAGGGTTATCATTAAAATCTTTCTAAATTCCATATATGCATTAGTATACTGTACTGGCATTTTTCTTTCTGGCTTACTTCACTTTGTATAATAGGCTCCAATTTCATCCCCCTCATTAGAACTGATTCAAATGTATTCTTTTTAATGGCTGAGTAATATTCCGTTGTGTATGTGTGCCACAGCTTTCTTATCCATTCATCTGCTGATGGGCATTTAGGTTGCTTCCATGTCCTGGCTATTGTAAATACAGTGCTACAGTGAAAAATGGGGTACATGTGTCTCTTTCAATTTGTGTTTTCTCGGAGTGTATGCCAATAGTGGGATTGCTGGGCATATGGCAGTTCTATTTCCAGTTTTTTAAGGAATCTCCACACTGTTCTCCATAGTGGCTGTACTAGTTTGCATTCCCACCAACAGTGTAAGAGGGTTCCCTTTTCTCCACACCCTCTCCAGCATTTATTG